AATTAAATTTTACAATTTCGCAATAATGGAGCTGGCCATTTTCCTATTAGTCACTGTCACCTAAAAGCATTTGTTGAGTTAGATGCCAGTGACTCTGTATGAAATGAATTGTTGTCCAGGAGCAAAAATATTCCTGTACCCTTTAAATTTCTTTTATCTGGTCTAAAAATTAAATGGACATGAGACAGATTAACAGGAAAAGAAAAAAAACCCCAAATTTTAATTATGTGCCCATGGAGGGTAATGAAATTGAGACCTAAGGAAACTGAAACCTATGGAAATGACCACAACAAGCAGTTTTTATACTTTTTAGTCAAAGAGACAATAGATTTGTGAGGAGTAGACAGGAAAAAGAAAACTTATGTTCAGACCCTCAATTAATATGAAATTCTAAACAGAATGGGGGCTGAGGTAGTAAATTAGTAAAAAGTAACAGGGTTTGTTTATATGGCCTTCTTGGCTCTAAATTCCCTATTTCTGGTGATAAGGATTCCCTATCTCTCCACCTCCTGGTACAGGGAGGGTACTTTTCACACAGGAGATTTATCTCCCATTTTCAGCAGGAGCGAGGAAGGTCAGAGTGTCCTTGCACTGGCTGTTTCTTCAGTAGCTTTAATTCAAAGTAATCAACATGCCACTGTGGCCCATTTTGGGGCATCCTGTCCTGGGCCCCTACACTGCCATGTAAAAAGGTTTTTAGGTACTGAGGGTGTTATAAAGTAAAATCCAGTCCCTGGCTTCAAGATGCTCAATTCTCGATAAGGGCTAAAATATGCAAAGAAAAGCTAGGTAACCACCAGGAAATGTTCAGTGAGTAGCTCCAGGGGTGTTAATGGTCAGAAGAGGATGGTATCTCTAGGGGCTCCAATCATGGAGATAGATTAAGGAAGGGAGTGGGAGTTGAACTGACCTGGACCATAAAGGATGGGTGGGATTTGGCTAAATTAATGGAAGATGGAGAGCAGATCATGAGTCAGATTGCATGATAAATGTGAACATGGCATACTAGAGGCACCGAGTGGACTAATGTGGTGTACTTCTTCCCTGTGCTAGTCCTCCTCTGTGTTTGGTATGGCCTCCAGTCTGCATATTCAGCCACACCCAGCTCCTTTGGTAACTCTTAACCAACTGAGCCACCCAGGCGCCCTCCTTTGGTAATTCTGACCAAACGGGTGGTACAATAGCAACCTCACACTCCCAAGCCTGGGGATCAGGAATTAGCCTTGCTAATACATACCAGCTACAATGCTGATGTGTTTTTGTGATTTATAGTAAGAACAATATATTTGGCTTTCACAACAAAGTTTCTTGCACAGAGCTTCTCAAACCTTGGGACTTTTCTCTGATGATTTCCTTGTAATACTAATGAAATGACTTTTGGAAGGTACCTAGGGATGGGGTTGGTTGCCAGGAGAACAAACCAACTGATTAAAGGGTTGGAAATTTCAGTTCCCAACCCCATCCCTTCCATTTGGTTTCTTTGTAAGAACTCAAGAAGCAAGACAAAAATACACAGAAGGGAAAACCCTGGGATTCTTGTCTGCAAGTGTTACACACACACACACACACACACACACATACACACACACACACACACACAATGTCTTGATGGGGAAAATAAAGTACACATGGGAGGATTCTGATTTCCAGCCTCCTCTACTCCTCCATTCCCAACTTAATCCTTCCACAGAGTACAACAGCAGAGATCTGGCCACTCAGGTGGACAGAGCACAGTAATAGTGATGTAAACTGAAGTCAAGGCTGCTAAAATCTACCCCCCTCCCCATGATACATGGTGGATTTTACATCTAGTAGCATTGTTCTGGTTTACATCTTATCCTCTTAGACTGCAGGAAACCTTTGCTCAGGAACAGCCACATTACACTTGATAGCATCTTGGACCTTGGTTCCTGAATGCCATATCAGATCTCATATTGCTGAACTGTTACTTATTCAAGTCTCTCTCAGACTTGGCATTCCACACCCATAATGTAGCTCAATCTCCTCTCGACTCCCAGCCAAGTGATGCTCCCCGTACTGTCCTCTCTGGCAGAGAGTAAGGTTTATGTTTTATACCTCTAAACATATGATATAAAGTATGATTCATACCTAAACTGGTTAATAAGTATCTATCATTGAAGCTTCGAGAGAGAAGGCAAGGTTAAGAGACTGGAATGATACTACAAAGAGATACTGCTGGTTTTTCCCTTTCTGTACTCCATTCTTATTGAACTTTGTCGAACTAAGCATATGAATTTTGCCTAATCCTTTCTTTGGAAATATCTTATTTTACTTTTCATATATCATAGAAATTTAGAGTCAGAAAAAATTTTAAATCTCACATAGTTCAATTTTCTTCTTTTTTTAAGATTTATTTATTTGGGAGGGAGGGGCAGAGGGAGAGGGAGAGAGAATCCTCAAGCAGACTCCCCACTGAGCATGGAGCCCAAAGCAGGGCTCGATCCCATAACCCCAAGATCACGACCTGAGCCAAAACCAAGAGTCAGATTCTCAACTAAATGTGCCACCCAGGCGCCCCACATAGTTCAATTTTCTATGGAATTCAGGCATCCTATCCACAACACACATGGTCCAACACAGATAGCATCTGTTGCCTGGATATTGTCTGTTCAACTGCTGACCACCTCTGATAAGAAATCTTCCTCTTGTTAGGCCAAGGGTAGTTAGTATACACCACTGTGTATACTAACATTCTCAGAGTACCTTCCAGAGAGGGGCTCTAAAATCATAAATTCAGTCAGAGAGAGCTTGGAGTAACTCCAGGACAATGCAAGCAAGCTTCAAGGGCAAGATGGAGTCAAATCTAAGATAACATGAGAACAAGATATAACTTCGAGGGCAGACATGAGTTGATAATAGCTTTGGGTAACATTTACTGAGTATAGTACTGATTACTATAGATCAGAGGTCAGGCACTATTTAAGCACTTTATACTTATTAGCCATTTATTTCTCACAACAATTTTATGAAGAATATGGTCTTCATTTTCTAGTTGTAGAAACTGAGGCACAGAGTAACTGGTCCAAAGTCATCCAGCTAGAAAGTGAAAGAACTAGGATTTGAATCCAGGCCAATTGGATCCAGACCCTGGACCACCATATAAACTACCTTAAAAACTATAACTAAGAATGTCTAAACCATGTGCCAGGCATCATTCACTCCTTTATTCCTCATAATAGCATGTACTCTTATAAAACAGCCAAGTAACTTGCCCAAGGTTGGGCAGCTAGTGAGTACTAAAGTTGGGATTCAAATCCAGGTAGCCTATCTCTAGATATGCTTTTCTCCACTACTCTAAACCCCCTCCGCATAGATGGTGATCGTTTCAGATACAGAGCTTTGCCATGGGCAGGAAAGGCAAATGACAAAGTGGGTGAGAGTAGAATAGGTACCAGGTGGTAAAAATGTGGAGGGAAATTAGATGCTGGCTGTTATCCAGGATACCCAGAGGACTCTCAACCCCATCCTTCTTGCTAAGGACACAGAAAAGGCAAATTATCTCTAGACAGAAGAGGCCTACACAATCAGAAAGAATGGCCTCCTTGCAGAAGTACATTCAGGAAGCTGCCTCTGTGCAGAGAGGGAAGTTATCCTTCAGATCTAGCAGAAGACAATCGCCAACACACACTGGCTAATGGGGAAATGAGAGGCCTAATATAATCTGCCAGTTTCTGGTTTCAGGAAGCGGGTGAGAAGTTTGCAGATATCTGAATGATTACTGTGACTATCTGGAATGGAGGTATGACTGGCACAAGCAAAGAAAGGTCCATTTAAAATTCTACCCATTGGATTCCATTTCTAAACAACTTTTCTGCAAGCTATGTAGAAAGTTTCATGGTACATGAAGGTATTTTAAAAATGCTTCTGAATGTTGAATAATAAGTTGTGTGGAATATCAAGCAATGCGATCAGTATCTTTTTTTTTTTAAAGATTTTATTTATTTATTTGAGAGAGAGAATGAGAAAGAAAGAGCACAGGAGACAGGGAGGGTCAGAGGGAGAAGCAGACTCCCTGCTGAGCAGGGAGCCCGAAGCGGAACTCGATCCTGGGACTCCAGGATCATGACCTGAGCCCAAGGCAGTTGCTTAACCAACCAAGCCACCCAGGCGCCCACGATCAGTATCTTTTTCAGAAACCCATAAAACAAACTTCTTAACTAAGATTGAAGACTTTAGATTCCACATTTAGTTGTTTGTTCATTCAGAGAACACAGCTTCATAATATGAAATCTTATCTAATCAATGTTTAGAAAATCATTTGCAGGGGAAATTCGCATGTTTTTAAAAAAGAAATGGATTCATTTACAAAGCAAGTAATTATTTAAAATATTCAATGGTAATTCAATGCTTGTTTGCTGCAGTCATTTAAGAAATAGCAATAAATTTTCAGACTTGCCCTCATGGAGCTTACCTTCTAGTGGGGAGGGAGAAAATAACCGGAAAAAAAAAATAAGTAAAATATAGGACATTTTAGATAGTGGTAAGCACTAAGAAGAAAAATTAAGCAGGGAAGGGGACTAAGAAGGAGGGGGGTGGGGGTTGGTGGCATGTGGCAATTTATATAGGGTGGCCAAGGAAGACATTAAAATGCACATATTCCTTAAAGTTTAGCATTACGTAGTATTTCCCCTGTACTGAGAGGCATCTGGTATATCTGAGGCATATATCGGATATACATCCCCACAATAATGATATTAAGAGGCATTAAAAAGAAGATGCAGAAGGTTTTAGGCTTCTAGATAGCAGCACTTTTTTAGATTAAACCCATAGTTAGATACCCCGAGTTTCATTTTCACTTTAATAATGAATATTTTGGAGTCTTTCGGTTTGTTTTGCTTCAAAATTAGTTTCCTAAGTAGCAGCAGGTGGGACATTTTCTCTAGAAGACTCTCAAGGCTACGTACACGTGCTCTTGAGAGCAGAAACTTTCATTCCCTAGGGCACGACAGTGTCTGGAACATACATAACAAGTTTGGTACCTGGAATCCACAGCCCACTGAATGTGCGTGTCCAGTAAGTACTAACTACAGGAGGTGGTTCAAGTCCAAGCGAGAATGTTGAGTCACAGTGTCTGCTCAGGCACAACCCGTCTCATCCGCCTCCGTCACCAGCGGGGTGGGAGATTCCAACTTCACCAGGGGCGGATTTCTGACGAATCTCTTCATTTGGACTGAAACGCTTTCTGGTATTTTCCCTCTGCCGAGGTGGCACGAATTTCTGAAACGTGGTCCTGTCTGCTCTAAAGGCGGGGTCCGATCTTGACAGCCAGCTGTGCTGGGGCGAGGCCAAATTCGCCCTCTGCCCGAGTGTGGACCTGGCCCTAGGGAGCCCCTCCGGCTGGAAAGGGCGAAGCCTAACTCTTGGTCTCCCCGGTTTCTCCTAACCCCTCGCTCCTAGTTCCGAGGGGCCGAGTTGTTCGGGCCGCCTCCCACCCTTCCGCTCACCCTCCCCACCCCCTCTGCACCGCCTCCCGCCCTCTCCTCTGCACCGCCTCCCGCCCTCTCCCCAGGTCGGTTAACTCTAGGTGACTGCATCTGTCTACCTGAGTGAACGCAGGGCCTTAACCTTCCAGTCCCGCCTTCCTCCTCTAGTCCCAGCAAATTTGCTCCCGCCTCATCCCGGACAGAAGCGCCCCAATTGGCTCTCCCGCTGACTGGTCGGGTGTCGTTCTTGGGGCGGGGCCTGGCGCTGCGTGACCGCCGGCCTGGAGGGGCGCGAGTTCGGCTTCGCCTGCGGCCTCCGGCAGCGCCGGCTGCGTTTCACGGCTTGCACCCAGGCTCACCCGGCCAGGGAAAGGGTTGCATGAGCGGTGGGCCAAGGGGTTGCGGTTGGGGTGCAGGGAGGGCCTCGGGTCCTGGGCCGGGGGGTGCAGGGAGGAGGGCCGGGGCGCGGGGGAGCGCGGGGACATGGCAAAGCTGGACCATGAGGAGGGGGCAGCGGTGGCACCTGGGCACCCGCCCGCGAATGGATACCTCCTCGTCCCGGGGGGCGAGCCCCCCGGAAAGCTGAGCGCCGAGCCGCAGAACGGGCCCAAAGCCGGCTGCCTGACCCTGAATGGAGTGTCTCGGGACCGCCTTGTGGCCGCCGCTGAATCCCTCGGCAGGCCGCAGACTCCGCTGGCTCCAGAGGAGGAGACCCAGACCCGGCTGCTGCCTACGGGCCCCGGGGAGGAGACCCCCGGGGCCGAGGGCTCCCGGGTGCCCCAGACTGCGCTCTCTGCGCGGCGCTTTGTGGTGCTCCTGATCTTCAGCCTGTACTCGCTGGTGAACGCCTTTCAATGGATCCAATACAGCATCATCAGCAATGTCTTCGAGGGCTTCTATGGCGTCTCCTCCCTGCACATCGACTGGCTGTCCATGGTGTACATGCTGGCCTACGTGCCCCTCATCTTCCCCGCCACGTGGCTGCTGGACACCAGAGGCCTGCGGCTCACGGCCCTGCTGGGCTCCGGCCTCAACTGCCTGGGCGCCTGGATCAAGTGCGCCAGTGTCGAGCGGCATCTCTTCTGGGTCACCATGCTGGGCCAGTGCCTGTGCTCCGTGGCCCAGGTGTTCATCCTCGGCTTGCCCTCCCGCATCGCCTCGGTGTGGTTTGGGCCCAAGGAGGTATCCACAGCTTGTGCCACTGCCGTGCTAGGCAATCAGGTAAGAACTAGAGTGATAGATGAAAATCGGATCCTTAAAGGACCAGATAAAGGCATAGGCTGTATGAGCTAGGCGTATGGATGGACCCGCATGAGGCAGTTGTGTATAAATGAAGGAAGGGAGATGTGTAGTCATAAGATAGGAGGCAGCCTTGGATTAAAGAGGGTATTTGATTTATTTGTAAGGACAGAACTTCAAAACCAGTTTGAAGTGACTACCTTATCTTCTTGCTTTGAGAATTACCTATAAAATAGTTAACTGAACTGGCCCATATGTCCCTAGCATCATAGAAAACTTGTCAGTGTAATAACCAGTGAGACTTAGGTAGGTATTTTTGTCATCCCTAGTGTATTCTTTGTAAAAGGAAGGTGTTGGATTCTGGGAAGTTTGTTCTCATTTTGAGTGATCAATGTGAACAGCTCCTGTTTTATTTTGTTTTGTTTTGTTTTACTTATTTATTTATTTTTCTAAAATTTATTTATCTTTTGTAGTAGTCTCTACACCCAAGGTGGGGCTGGAACTCATGACCCTGAGATCAAGAGTTGTACACTCTTCGGACTGAGCCAGCCAAGTGCCCTTCCTGTTTAATTTTATATGTTAGCAATCAGCAGAGTGCCTAGTGCACAATGCTTATAAATGACAGCTAAATAAATGTTCTGGTGGTAAAGACCTCACAACATTACTGAGTCCAATTACCAATTTTTAACAGTCAGAAAATGCAAGACAGATCGCAGATCATGGAACCTGTGGTAAAAGGGTGGCTTATTTTGCCAATTCTCCCTTAAAGTGCTTCCTAGTCCTTCTAACACCATAGGTTCAAATTCCAGTAGCATTCCTGTAGCATTACTAAGTAGAATGTTGTGAGTGTGTGTGTGTGTGTGTGTGTGTGTGTGTGTGTTGTAATTGCAGATTGATTCTTTTATTGTCATTTAAAATTTGCATATGGAGTTTTGTGATACTTTATGTACATTGTATGGAGTGTTCATTCAGCTTGAGGAGAATGTAATTAAAAATCACCTGTCGGGGCGCCTGGGTGGCTCAGATGGTTAAGCGTCTGCCTTCGGCTCAGGTCATGATCCCAGGGTCCTGGGATCGAGCCCCACATCGGGCTCCTGGCTCAGCAAGGAGCCTGCTTCTCCCTCTCCCTCTGCCTCTCTCCCTGCTCATGCTTTCTCTTCTCTCTCTCTGTATCTCTGTGTCTCAAATGAATAAATAAAATCCTTAAAAAAAAATAAAAAAAAAAATCACCTGTCTCCATGCCTAGATTCCTACCTGCTATGTAACAAAAGAATGTTACTCTCTTACTTCCAGTCTAACACTTGTTCCAAGATCACAATAAGATTTAGCTAAAATCCATAAAGAGACTAGCTCTACATCTTTATTACTTTATGTTTATCTTCTTTCTCTAAAAGTACAGAAGAAAGGGTAGCTTGAACTGTAGTTGTTGTGCATTCAAAATAATTTATAACTGGGGCGCCTGGGTGGCTCAGTCATTAAGCGTCTGCCTTCAGCTCAGGTCATGATCCCAGGGTCCTGGGATCAAGCCCCGCATGGGGCTCCCTGCTCAGCTTGAAGCCTGCTTCTCCCTCTCCCACTCCCCCTGCTTGTGTTCCCTCTCTCGCTGTGTCTCTCTCTGTCAAATAAATAAATCAATAAAAATCTTAAAAAAAAACACAATAATTTATAACTGATATTTGAGTTGGTTGCTTCCATATGTTTAGATAGGAACTGTTTTCTTAAGGTATTTTTCATTACCAAAATTGTATTCCATATTCATACTTCATTGAGTATGGCAGAAATATTATTAGCTCCATATCTATGGATTATCTATTTATGGGTAATAAATGGAAATGTTTTCTCATAGGCAGATTTCCCTCTCATGTTCAGCACACCTCTGCCTTCTTTGTACATTCATTGTCCCTAGGGTTCTTGTCCTTCCTTGGCTGCAGTAACTGTGCACTTTTCATGGCCCTCATTTTTGGCCTAAATTATGGAGTGATCACTTATAATAATATTCCACATTATTGAGCATTCACTGAGAACCTGGCACCATGCTAAGTATTTTACATGCATTGTGTCCTTGAATTTAATAATATAAGGTAGGAACCATTAGTCTCTCCGGTTTATAGATACAGAAACTGAGACTTGAAGGGATGAAATTATTTTCCAGAAGTCACACAGCAAACTGGTGGCAGCATTCACACCCAAGTCTGTCTGATTTCCTGCATCCTGGCTTTTCACTATTCATCTCTATTGCCAGGTCTCTAACCTGAGAAACCCTTCTAAAACATGGATCAAATCCTGTCATTGCTCTGCTTTGGACTCACCGATGATTTTCCATAGTACTTAAAATCTAAACTCTTCACTCGGGGTTGCAAAACCTTATTCTAATACGTCTTCTTCATCTAAGCTTGGTTTTTGCATAAGGGCCTTTGCAGAAGCATTCTCTCTGCCTGGAATGTTCTTCCTTCTAGGATCACATTATTACATCCTTACTGTCACACAGTTCTCAGTTTAAATTCATTTTATTTTATTTTGTTTTTTATTTTATTACTTTTTTAAGATTTTATTTATTTATTTGACAGAGACACAGCGAGAGAGAGAACACAAGCCAGGGGAGCGGGAGAGGGAGAAGCAGGCTTCCCACTGAGCAGGGAGCCCGATGCGGGACTTGATCCCAGGACCCCGGGACCGTGGCCTGAGCCGAAGGCAGACGCTTAACGACTGAGCCACCCAGGCGCCCCTTAAATTCATTTTAGATATCATTTTGTGGCATTTCTTGAGGAACCCATTTAGAGTTGCCCAGTCACTCTCTTATTACATCATTGTACTTATCTCCATATGGTGCTTATCACTCTCTGATATATTTATGCTTATATATTGTTACTAGTTATTTCCCATCCCCACCATTAGATTGTAAGTTTCATGAAAATAGGCATGTGGTCTGAATGTATACAGTTGTCTCACCAGCATTTAATACAGTGCCCAGCACATTATAGATGCTCCATAAAAATTTGTTGAATAAATGAGTGAGCTTCAGACTTACGTAGATACTGGCTAGCTGATATTTCCATGTGCTCTCACCCATCCAAATTCACCTGGTCTCCTAGCTCATTTCTCTTCATTTCTGCTGCCTCTCTCTTGGCTTTGGCCGCCAGCAGCCCTTACCTTGAGATTGCTGGCTGACTTTCCTATCTGCAGCTCTTGCACTTTTCCTATGACTCTTCACATTTATCCACTGTGGTCTTTCTAATGTGCAGATCTGTCCAGGACACTCCCTTGCTCTCTGCAGTGGCTTCCATTGCCCTGAGTATAAAATTCAAACTGTCTAATAAGACAGTGTGAGTCCTTTTGGATCTGCCTCCTGTCAACTCTTCGGCTTCACCTCTCCACACACCGCCCCCCCCCCCCGCATTCCTCACATTCACATTTTTTCTCTGCTTCTGAGGGGAATTGTCCACTACTTACAGCTTCTCACAAGGTCATGCTCTCCTCCTTCCTTTGTACCTGATGTTCCCTTGGCTGGGAACACACTGATTTCACTTGGCTAACTCCAGTTTCCTCTTCAGATCTTTGCTCCTGCAGAAACTTTTCCTGAACCCCAAGTCTATACAAAATGCTCCTTCAAAGTAGTTTCGTAGCTAGGGTGACTGTCTGTTCCAGTTTGCCTGGGATAATCCAGGTGTGGAGCTGTTCATTAGGATAACTGCTCATTTAGTCCCTTTCACTTTGAATAGTGTTCTCATTTGGATGATAGATCACATGACCATCCCAGTCTTAGCACCGTCTACCTCTCCATCACTGTTATCACTGCACTTACCAAACTCTCTTGTACTTACCTGTTTAGTGGTCTCTATCCAGCTTTTTGTAAAGGAGCAAATGAAGTGTTTGGTGACACTTCCTTTTGGAAATCAATCTTGGGCCCTTCCTTCTCATCTCCATCCCTGTTATCTTTCTCCATTGAGCTCCTTTAATACTTTAATTTTATTTCTTTCATTGTGATTATCATAGTCAACCTTATGTTTTTCTTACTGAGGTGAAATTCACATTAACCATAAAATTAACCATCTTAGATTACAGCTCAGTGGCATTTAGTACATTCATAGGGTTGTACAACCATCACCTCCATCTAGATCCAAAATATTTTCATCCACCCTCAAAGAAGACCCGATACCCAACACTAAGCAGTCACTCTTCATTCACCCCTTCTTCTGACCCCCAGACAACCACTAATTTGCTTTTTCTCTCTATGGATTTAGCTGTTCTAGATGTTTCATGTAGATGGAATCATTCACTATGTGACCTTTTATGTCTGGCTTCTTTCACTTAGCATGTTTTTCAAAGTTCATCCAAAGATCATCCATGGTAGTATTTCATTCTTTTTAGGGCTGAATAATATTTCATTATATGAGTGTACCACATTTTGTTTATCCATTCATCCACTGATGGACATTTGGGGTTGTTTCTACCTTCTGGCTATTGCAGATAGGGCTGTTATGAATATTCATGTATAATATTTAATATTTGTTTGAATACCTATCTTTAGTGTTTGGGGTATTTATTTAGGAGTGGAATTGCTAGGTCATATGGTAATTCTATGTTTACTTTTTTAAGGAACTGCCAAATTGTTTTCTACAGTGGATGCACTATTTCACAATCCTGCTAGCAGGGTACAAGGGTTGCAATTTTTTCATATCTTGCCATTTGTTATTTTCCAATTTTTTGTTTGTTTGTTTATTATAGCCATCCTTGTGGGTATGAAGTGGTATCTCATTATGGTTTTGATTTGCGTTTCCCTACTGATTAATGATGTTGAGCATTTTTTTCACGTGTTTATTGAACATTTGTATATCTTCTTTGCAAAAATGTGTATTCAAGTCCTTTGTCCATTTTTGAATTGGATGTTTGTCTTTTTGTTGTTGTTGTGAGAGTTCTCTATATATTCTAGATGGTAGACGCTTTTTCGACATATGATTTGCAACTATTTTCTTCCACTCTATATATCATCTTTCTCAGCCTTACTCTGCATATTCTTATTCTTCTTTTTGATTGCAAGCATCTAAAAGGTAAGAACGGTATCTTACATCCTTACAGCAGAATCATTCAAATAGTAGGAGCAACTACCATTTAACAGTACTGTAGTAAAAAACAAAAAAACAAACAACATTAGAACGTGGTGCTTTTTAAAAAAAAATAGTTATTTATTTGGGTAAACTCTACACGGTGTGTGGGGCTTGAACTCACGACCCCGAGATCAAGAGTCCCTTGCTCCTCCAACTGAGCTAGCCCAGCATCCCAGAACATGGTGCTTTAGAATGTACACCTTACACCTTAAATACGCTAGCTGTCTTCTCTATATTAATTGCCAGTATGTCCTTTTTTTCCCCTCTTATTAATAATAGGTATTAACAGGATTGTTTATTTTACAGCTTGGAACTGCAGTTGGCTTTTTGCTACCACCAGTTTTAGTGCCCAACACACAGAATAACACAGATCTTCTGGCTTGTAATATCAGTACCATGTTTTATGGAACATCATCCGTCGCCACATTTTTATGTCTTTTAACAGTAATTGGTAAGCAAATTATATTCCCTATTGCTTAAATAGATAAATGCATGGCAAACATACGGAAATAAAAATAGCTGGCCCTGAACATTTTCATAATATCTCCCTTTGCTATCTGCTTGTTTCATTCTTGCTGTTGCACCTGTTCAGATAATGAATGCTACACCCCTAGGGATCTGTTATGGTCAGCTATATCTATTTTAGTATCGCAAAGGGTTTGAAGACTAACTCATTTAATTTCTCTCCCTACTAACTTTTCTTCCTGGATAACTGTTGTTTCCAACATACTACCTGCCTCCTGTTTGCATCTTCCTCTACGTCTTCTGCAGCTGATGCTAACATAGCCAGGAACAAATTCTTGTTATGCTTGGAAATGATGCAAAGAGGCTACCAACCTTTTTCTCTTTTTTAATGAGAAATCCTTCCAAGGATCCCCATTTTAACAATTAACTGGATCCGAACATGTTGACCAGTGAACGATCCTGAGCAGTGGCAAGCTGTTCAGCTGCTCAGCAGAGCTTGTTAGACCACTTCAGCAAAGCACTGTTGTCTCCACCTGTCCCTGAGTCCTCTCGTCTGGGCCTGTCTCTTGAAGCAGTCAGTCAAAATCAGCTGCAAGCAGCCACATCATCAGTTTGGAAGAAGATTTGGGAAGGTCTGCTTTTTAAAGTTTATTTTTTAATGGGAAACAAGTTTGCTTGCAGGGCGAAGGACAGGTTTTTTAAAGTAATGTGGTTGCTAATATAACTGGACTATTGTCCTTTGGGCACTCAGGATATCGTAACTCGATTTGAGGAAGACAGCAACTTTAAAATTGAAAGGCCATCTTTTAATCATTAATATTTACATTAAATTGCATGATTGCTGGAGCTTTAAAATGTATAAGATTAATTTTTACCATGGCTCTCGTAGTAATGAAAAATTCAAATTTTGTGATCTCCAGATAGGAAATCCTTGGTTTTCAAAGGCATGTAGGTTGAAGACTGTTCTGATAGAGACTGCCTTCATAGATGAACTGCCCATACATTTAATTTCTGTTCAGATAATGAAAAAAATATTCTCTTGGTAGCATAGAAAGTATTCTGACATGCCAAATCTACTCGTGGTTGGTTTTTATGTTTCAATTAGGGGGTGACATTTTTGCTGTGTATAGACTACTGAAAAAAGACAAATTATCCCTGTACTATTTCAGCAGTTTAACAAAGTTTTAAAAGAAATCTACAGTTGACCCTTGAACAACATGGGTTTGAGCTGCATGTGTCCATTTATACATGGACTTTTTTTACAGTACTGTAAAAGTATTTTCCTTATGACTTTATTAGTAAGATTTTCTTTTCTCTAGCTTGCTTTATTTTGAGAAGACAGTGTGTAACACATATAACATACAAAATATGCGTCAATTGACTATGTTATCAGTAAGGCTTCTGGTCAACAGTAGGCTACTGGTTGTTAAGTTTTTGGGGAGTCAAAAGTTATACATGAATTTTCAGCTGTGTGGGGGATTGGTGCCCCTAACCCCCATGTTGTTCAAGGGTCAACTGTATATTTTTTAAAAACAAACTCTTAAGTCTACTTCTCTGGTATCCATATTTGATTTGCTAAAGGACATATAGTTTGTATATGTTTTGTATAAATGGATCGTCTATTAGCAATTAGGGATTATTAAAATGTAAAATCCACCTTCCTATGATTGCTTGTGTATCTTCACATCAATTCTGGTTTTCCTTTTTTTATTGTCTTTCATGGCTTTATCTCTTTGGAAAAATATAAGATATCTATACATGTGAAATCATATATATGACACATATGTGTTTAAGCATATCTATATGAGATGCTACAAATATAAGATTTTATTTATTTATTTGACAGAGAGAGACATAGCAAGAGAAGGAACACAAGCAGGGGGAGTGGGAGAGGGAGAAGCAGGCCCCCTGCTGAGCAGAGAGCCCGATGCCGGGCTTGATCCCAGGATCCCGGGATCATGACCGAGCTGAAGGCACATGCTTAATGACTGAGCCACCCAGGTGCCCCGATAAATATAAGATTTTTCTTTGTGAAAGGAAGGGGACAAAAAGGCAGTAATAATAGGTTGACCTTTGACATAGCACCTGTGTTACTTGAGAAATTAAAAGAGACCTATTCATGTACATTATTACTTATTTATGCACTCCTAGCTTCTGAGGAGACCGTGGAGATGGAGCAGGGAAGAAAGGGCTCACTGTCAAGTTTTGCTTGGTGACCTGTAATCTTAACCCTATGATACCAAGCATAGTATAAAAGCAAGATAATATACAGGTGTGACATGAATGTCTTGGGTTGAAAATCGTGACATTTAAACAAAAAATTTTATCTGTTTTCCTTATACTCAAATATTTGCTATTGAGGAAGATAGGGATTATTTTAAAGGTCCTTAATTACTAAGCGACAATCCTACTTCCCTCTGAATACTTCCCATAAATACTTTGGAAGCCCAACCAAATTTTATAAAGTAACTTGGCTTTGCTGTTGCTTTTCAGCAATGTGACATATACTAAATTGGTATTCAGCAGTCTTTCAAAAATACTATCTTGAGGCTTCATGCCATGTAACCCTATTGCCCTCCCTCATGGAGCTTATTCATGAATGTAATCCATCTAGCATTTCTAGGAATTAACCCAAGCCTTCCACCAGATCTCACACTAATACCTCATTCTTCATACCCCACACGATTGTGGCTTCTAACAATTGGTGGTTTGATAAGTACCAAACATGTTTAAAGTAGGCACACTACATGGTGCATCATCTAATCCTCATAGCCCTATGAGGGCGGTACTATTCTCAGTCCCATTTGATAGATGAGGAAAGTAGGACGCAGAATTGAAGTAAATGTAATCTATCCATGGTCACAGGGAATACTGAAGATGAAATTTGAGCCTAGGTACCCTAACTCCATATTTAAAATGTTATATACAAAAATACGGCATTTTAATTTTTAATTAGTCTTGTTTTTGTTCCATTTCAAATTCCACTTGTATACGTGGTAATGCAGTTGTGTTTGAAAGCTATCCTTGTGCAGGAGGGCAGTAAACTCTATCACGTAACTCAAATGTGCAAATTAAAATCCTTACCTTCCTGATTCACTAATGTGAGTGGATGAGAGAAACCAGAAGTAAAGGCAATCAAAATATTTAATGTTAAGGTACTTAAACACATGAGTATATAACATGTATGTGTAATTCTACTTTTGATTCTTCAGGATATTTATAGCTAGACTGCTGTTGTAAATATTTAACAGAAATATGTTTTACTTAGTCTATAAGAATTTTAAGCCCCTGAGATAAAGTCTCTGACTTTTAAAAGTAGGTATTCCTGGGGGCACCTGGGTGGCTCAGTCGGTTAAACATCTGACTTCAGCTCAAGTCATGATTTCAGGGATCGAGCCCCATGCTGGGCTCTGCATTCAGAGGGAGTCTACTACTCCCTCTCTCTCTCCCCCTGCTTGTGCTCTCTTTCTCAAGTAAATAAATGGATCTTTAAAAAACAAGTATTCCTGAAAATGACACTGTATTCTGTGTAGCATTCAATAATTACAAGATTATTTTGCATATATTATATCATATAATCCTCATAACAACTTGTTATTTCCATTTTATGTATGAGAAAACTATAGTTGAGAGACAGGAATTGACTTCTTCTGAGTTATACAAGGATATGAGGCAGAGCCAGTATTCAAACCTCTACATATCTTGTAATAAGTTAATATGTGGAATGTCTGCTTGAATCATACAGGGACAAATAATGAAATCAAAAGATAATGTTATTATTTAATTCCAAAAGTAGAAGTAGTCCTAAACACATAGATTTCCTTCTTATTCATCATGGGAGAAAAGGTTTGAATGTGGTACCCCAAAATCCTTTGGCTACTTTGGAGAATAACTGCTTGAATAGTTTATTATTATTATTATTATTATTATTATTATTATTATTTATGTAAGCTCTCTGCCCAGTGTGGGACCCCAAGATCAAGGGTTGCATGCTCAACTGACTCAGCCAGCCAGGGGCCCCGATAGTTAGCTATTTTTTTGGCATACATTTTTGGTGGGGAGAAGAAAGAAGAAGGCTATTGCGTTTCAGTTTCAAAGGAGAAAGAGAAAGCCATATTTCATCCTTTAAAGGAAGCAACGTAGAGTAAACAGGGTCGTAGACCAGTGGTTTTCTGTTCCTCTGTTTCCTTTTCTTCATAGAGACTGAAACCCGACTTTAGTGTATTGTGTAGCCGGTAGATACGGGCCTGATTTTGTCCAACAGGGCAGTTGACTACCTGAAACGAAAAGATAACACATGTCTTCAGAAAATAAATTCAGTGGGGTTGAAGACTAATAGGCATTGATTTCTCTTTGCGTTTGAGTTCAAATCTGAACCACTTATACTTACTTTACCAGAGTAAATAAGAACCTAAGTAAGAGACTGAAGACTCAATCCCCATGATTACCTTGTAAGCACGGTTTTGACTTTCTGAAACTTTGTTTTACAACCGCCTGGGTTGTGTATTGCCACTATTAACAAAAAGAGATATCTCCAATCTTAACTAGGACCCAAAGAGACTTTCAGGAAAGGACAACAGGCGTCCTCAACAGTGAAAGGAGCAGATAGGGTGAATGAAGAGAAGGGATTGCAACCAAGTCCTCCCATATAAGAACGTTCAAAAGTAAATATTCATGAGTATGTCTCCTCTTGAATTAGTTGTGACACCTGTAAAAATAGAAGTCTGTTTTAGTTTGATAAGTTTTCAGTATATCCTAATTAATTGATGTTTTGGTGAGCTGTGCTCCTGGGAATCTACCTGGACCTCTTCAATTCTAGAAATTATATCTAATTAGATCAGATGATAAATTTCTGTAGCAAATAGAGGAAGAAAACAGTTACTAACTCAAGACAGTCCTCTAAAAGGTAACATAGACCAGTTAGCTCATCTCTGATGTTACCTGTAATTACAAATTGAACTAAGTTTAGAAATGGAATTGTTGAATACTTACAAGAATAAAAATTAATCTTGCTTAACTAAGAATGGACTAATCAGTGAGCAAGTTTGTGACATATTATTGAGATGGTTTTGCAGTTATGTGAATTGATCAAATCTCTGAGCTGTGGTCCGTTTCAGAGGACTGAGAGGATATTCTTCAGAAATTAATGAAAATGAAAGACTCACTATAAGACTTTCACTACCTCTTTAAGCTTAAACTGATTTAGTCTGCTCACTCAGGAAGATCCATGTATTTAATTACCTTTCCATGTGTGTTTCCAGCATTCAAAGAAAAACCTCAGTATCCACCAAGTCAGGCTCAAGCAGTTCTTCAAAAAAGTTCTCCTGCTGAATACTCCTATAAGAAATCAATAAGGAACCTATTTAGAAACATTCCTTTTGTCCTTCTCTTGATCACTTACGGTAAGTGGTTTTCTTTTACTTTGATTTCTGTATAAAACTTTGAGCATTGTAGATTCTTTTCATTTAATCTAGTGGATTGAGCTTTAGTTAATGAGATAGGTTTGTTAACTATAAAAATAATGATGGCATAGTCATAAACTTAAATTTTGAACTAAAAGCAAAATTTCTTAATCCAATTTCTTAATTTAATTTGTTATGTTTTTAAAATAAAATATAATAGATCTCAAATAGACAAGCACTGTCTTCTTTTTTGAGTTTACACCAAGTATTTTAAGTCCTTCATAAACTGCTGTAAGTATATGGGAAATGTCAACAATTCCTTTCTCTGCTCCTATGCAAACTGGCATCTATTTTGACTACTCAGTCAAAACTAGACACTAATGCGATCACCTTAACCAGTTCTAACTTGGAAAAGCAATTCTTATCCTTCTAGGTACTCCAGGATAGCTGACAGATACTCACTCTGATGCTGTAGGTTTGACTGCAGGCACCAACCCATTTGGTTCCGTTCAGAGTTTGCTGACAGTTTATTCTTTGTTTTTGTTTTTTTTATATCAACACCATTTATAATAACTGCCAACACCCCCTATTTCTGTCTTACTTGTCTTCAGAAGTCACTCACTGCTGTTCTTTCTCTTCTTTACATCTTTCTGGGAGCACACACCCTAGTACATAACTGTTTTACGGGTTGTAACAAGTTATGCCCTGACCTAAATGCTCACTCACCCCTTTACCATGGTTACTTGATCTTTTTTTTTCTTTTTCAGTGAAAATAGTTGAACACAAAAATAAAACATTTAATATAGTGAATTCCTATGTACCTATCATCACCCAGCTGCAATGGTCGACATTTCAGTATTCCTGCTCTATCTCTTTCCTCTACTTTTTTCCTGGAATTTTTTTAAAGCAAATCCCAGATGTTATATCCTATCATCATTAAATACTTCAGCGTGCCATAGTTCCTTTTCTTAATTTTGCTGGTTCCCTCCACTGGTTAGCTTAAACCTAAAACACATAACTAGGAAGTAGAGAAAATACAGTGGGCGGTTATTATCTATAAGAGCAAATTCACTTCTGTAGCCTGTCATTTAAGGAAGAAAGATTCCTACCTTCTTTATCTCTCTCTGACTCCCAAGATAAGACTGTCTTTGAGCCAATTTATAACCAGCCCCTTGCCACAAACGCTCACACACACGAACATGCCTCCACGTGCATATATGCCGTGAATTCTAGTCTCTGCAATTTTGTGCCATTATTCCTTTTACCTGAAATGTACTCCTTTTCCCCCTCAAGCAGTCCTACAAGAGCTGGCTTAACATTTGCCTCACTTACTCTCTAAAATAAATGAATACATCTTCAAAAAAAATTCAGAAAGAAGGCATTGGGAAACACTGTGGAGAGTTCCCCAGGAGAGTTGGAAAACTTTCTTGACCTCATATTCTTCACCGAAGGGGTGCCTAGTTAGGGATCATGGTTTTGAATGAGTGAGTCACATCACACCTTTTGACAGTGCACCTGTCTCCCTCCATGACTACTATTATATAGAGAGAGAAAGTCCGAGCCGACTTGCACATGGGCTAGCCTAGATAGGGCGAATACAGACTATTCGGAACCAAATAGTCTAAGGTAACATTGTCTTGAGGTAAGGCTCTTTGGAGAAAACGTGATCCTTCACTATGCCACTCTTGCTATTTGCTGTCTGAAACTCAGACAAATAATCGAAGCTCAGATAACAGTATTTCTTGCTCTTATGATCCTTTACCCTCACTCTTGCTATCTTTACCCCCGTCTGGAATAGATGCAAGATGAGCACCGGGTAGAGTGCAGTAGATACCCTTAGGCCTGTTTTCCTTGGCCTCCTCACGCTAACGCGCTGGGTCCCTATATACATCTGAACTCAGTGGGAAGTGAGCAACCAAGGCCAGTTACTCAGGGCTTTTTGATACGATCTTTAGACAGCTGTATGTCTTATCCTGCAATCTTCCACTTAAACAGGGTTTGTAAGGGAACTAGACTAATTGTAAAATTCCTGCAAAAGAAGGAAGGGCCAAGAACAACAAAGATAATGTCAGTGAAGAACAAGGTAAGGGACACATTCTCAGACACCAGAATTTACAAAACAATGATAATTAAGATGCCACGTATAATCAAGGGATAGACTATTAGATTACGGGAGCAGAGTAGCGATCCCGGTGACCTGCTTCTCAGTATTCATTTGCAGGCTAGTTCGTATGATAGCAATGAAATTCTGCTAATAAAGAATCTCAGCGGCCTAGCGCGTCAAAAATTTACTTATTGCCAGTCAGTCCTGCATGTTCAATGCGAATTGGCAGCAAGGTGCTGCTCCCCAGAGTTAATTCAGGGACCCAGAATGACACCTTGGCACATGCTATTATGATTACTAGGGCAGCAAGTGGGAAATGTCACTTTTGCTCACATCTAAAGTCATATGGCCATGTAAGTGGAAAGAGAAAAACTAGAATATGGCGATCCCTGTAGCCCTAGTTCCACTTTCTCTGGTCTCAGTTACCCATGGTCAACCACGGTCGGGAAGCAGATGCTCCTCCTCCTGACCTTATTACAGAGAGTCGGCAGTAGCCTGACCCTACATCACACAGCTTGTGTCATTCACGCCACTTCATCTCATCACGTAGGCACTTTGTCATCTCATATCATCACAAGAAGAAGAACAACCACAGTACAGTAAGATTTTGAGAGTGACCACATTCACATAACCTTGGTTACTGCATATTGCTGTGATTTTTCTATTTTATTATTAAGTATTGTTGTTAATCTCTTACTGTGCCTAATTTATAAATTAAACTTTACCATATGTGTGTGTACTATCTGCAGTTTCAGGCATCCTCTGGGGGACTTGGAACAAATTCCATGCAGATAAGAGAGGACTACTGTATTTGCAAACAGCTCTAATGACTAGAACGTGTATATATGAAAACTAGATGTTTTGTATAAGAGAAACTATATCATAAATTGTCCTGGGATAATTGATTATCCATATGGGAAAAATAAAATTAGCTCTCTATATCAAAAAAATGAATTGCAATGGAATAAAGACCAAAGGGTGAAAATTAGAACTTTCAAGTTTTAGAAGTACGTATAGGCAACTGGCTTTAGTATTCTTAAAAGAATTTCTTGGGGGTGCCTGGGTGGCTTAGTCAGTTGAGCATCTGCCTTGGGCTCAGGTCGTGATCCTGACGTGCTGGGATCGAGTCCTGCATTGGGCTTCCTGCTCAGCAGGGAGCCTGCTCCTTCTGCCTGCCGGCCCCATTGCTTGTGCACTCTCTCCCTCCGACAAATGGGTAAAGTCTTTAAAAAAAAAAAAGAATTTCTTGGGACGCCTGGGTGGCTCAGTCAATTAAGCGTCTGCCTTAGGCTCAGGTCATGATCCTCCAGTCCTGGGATCGAGCCCCACGTTGGGCTCCCTGCTCAGCGTGGGAGTCAGCTTCTTCCCCTGCTTGTGCTTTCTCTCTCTCTCTCTCTCTCGCTCACTCAAATAAATAAATAAATAAATAAATAAAATCTGGGTTTTTTTAATGTAAACTTTTTTTTTTTTTAAGATTTTATTTATTTGACAGAGCGAGAGAGCATGAGCAGAGGGAGCGGCAGAGGAAGAGGGAGAAGCAGTCTCCCCGCTGAGCAGGGAGCCCGATGTGGGACTCAATCCCAGGACCCCGGGATCATGACCTGAGCTGAGGGCAGATGCTTAACCAACTGAGCCAGCCAGGCGTCCCATGAACTAAAATTTAAAGTATTGGCTCTGATAAATCTCATAACTGTAATATTGGGTGATAAGAGCAAGCTACAGATAGATACAAATAATATATTATTTATATATAGTTCAATTACATGCAGAATAATTCTAATTGTTATTTATGGATGCCCATATAATTAATATCTAAAATGATAAGCACTGGGGTACCTGGATGGCTCAGTCGGATGTCTGACTCTTGGTTTTGGCTCAGGTCATGATCTCAGGTTCCTAAAATCGAGCCCCCTGTTGGGCTCCCCACTGAGCGGGGAGTCTGCTTCCCCTCTCCCTCCCTCTGCCCCTCGCCCGCTCATGCCCTCTCTCTCTAAGATAAATAAATAAATCTTAAAATAAAATAAAGTAAATAAGATAAAATGATAAGCACTAACATGAGGTTCGGGCTTACCTCAGAAAGAATAGGAGCGAAGAACAGGATTAGAGATATAAAAAATGAACCTGAAGCAAAGATGGCAACATGTGAATGTTTGACAAAGCTGTGTGATGAGTAAGGGTATTTGTTAAATTATTCTCTGCGCTTTGGTCTATGCTTGAGGTATTTAATAATAGAGAGAAATAACAAACTTGCCTTGCTAGGTTAAGAGGCTTACCTAGTGTCCTACAAATGTGGGCCCCTGGGTGGCTCAGTTGGTTAAGCGACGGCCTTCGGCTCAGGTCTTGATCCCGGAGTCCTGGGATCGAGTCCCACATTGGGCTCCCTGCTGAGCGGGGAGTCTGCTCCCTCTGACCCTCTCCCCTCTCATGCACTCTCTCTCTCTCTCAAATAAATAAATAAAATCTTTTAAAAAATAAAATAAAGTCCTACAAATGTGCCAAGAATCAGCAGGATTCAAACCTAGTCATTTGCTTTCTGATAACCAACTTTTTTATTTTTCCTTTTTAAATATTCTATAATTAATACTATCTTACTAATTGCCTTGAAGTCTTTGATGCAGGGGTGAGATCTCTGAGGCAGAGATTCTGTCTCCTGTTTGAACATTCACTAGCTCGAGTACATTGTAGGAGCTCAGTAAGCGGTCTGTTCAGTGCTTCATTGCTGTATACAGTGTTCTGCATGGAGACAGAAGTTACGGTTGGCATATCTGAGTCTAAATAATAATAAATGGTGTAATGACAGAATTTTACTATTGTAATCTCTAGTAAGTTGAGGTGTTAAATTGATCATTCCAAAGTCTGAAATGAAATGGCAAGGGTTTTTAGTTTTCTCTGGCAGCTGTCTGAGAAATACATTATATGTTCACCATTGTCACAGAGTACTCCATATCACATTATGAACTAGTAAATGGTACATTTATAATTTTCTGTTTATTATTGTAGGTATCATAACTGGAGCATTTTACTCAGTGTCAACATTATTAAATCAAACGATACTGACATATTTTAAGGTGAGTTTCTGTCTATACTCTGTCACATGCCTGGCCACGAATGTTTCTTAAACAGTGTAAATCCTGATAGCATGATCATAAGATTAAAGCTTTATTGGGTGCCTGGCTGGCTCAGTTGGTGGAGCATGTGACTCTTGATCTCAGGATTGTAGGTTCAGGTTCCATATGGGCTGTAGAAATTATTTTTTAAAAATAAAATCTTAAAAAAAATTTATGACCTTGTTGCTTTAAAAGATTTTCATTTGTTTTTGTTTTTTTTAAAGATTTTATTTATTTGACAGAGAGAAAGCAAGAGAGGGAACACAAGCAGGGGGAATGGGAGAGGGAGAAGCAGGCTTCCCACGGAGCAGGGAGCCCAATGCGGGGCTCGATCCCAGGACCCTGAGATCATGACCTGAGCCGAAGGCAGACGCTTAACAACTGAGCCACCCAGGCCCCCCTTTCATTTGTTTTCATTGAGAATACATTTAATCCAATTTATAAAACACACAAAATGGAAAGCAGAAGGTATTATTGCTGTGACAATGCCTAAGTCTTTCTTCAGTACTTCAAAGAAATGACTGGTTATATGGAAAAAAAAAAAAAAACAATTTTAAAGGAAACCAACCCAAATATAAAGAAGTAAATATCAAGCTGTGACCTGTCTTAGCTTTTGCAAGGAGAAAGCAGTTGTAATATGTAAAAACTATCAGATTAATCTCCTTCTCAGACTTCTGTGAATTACCTGAGAATTCTAACAAAAATCATTGTACTTTCTAACCATGGAGGATCAAGAAAAATTTCTTTTATTTATCCCACATTTCAGATTTTCTTTTTTGTCTGGCTGGAAAATAGAATGTCCTTGATATGTCCTTACCTGCCCTCCACCCCCTTCACCCTAACAGATGTACTAAATTTCCTACTGTATTGTATGCTTAATTTATCCGATTATTTCCATTGACTGTGAAAGGTATGGGAATGTGAAAGATCTATTTGAGTTAGAAGTATCTGATTAACTTCTTTTGAAAATTTTTTCTAAGGGAGAAGAAATCAACGCTGGAAGGATTGGGCTAACATTGGTAGTAGCTGGAATGGTAGGCTCTGTTCTTTGTGGCTTGTGGCTAGATCATACCAAAACATACAAGTAAGTTGTAGTAGATAAACGTATGGTGTACAACCCAGGGTATTCTGGGTTTAATGGAAACTTTGCTTTTTAACTTGAGAAATATAAAAAGTGTTATTATTACTAAAAGACTTGGATTCTAGACATTTGTAGATTCCCTTCACTTCTAAATGAAGTCTGTATATTGTCTTATTTTATCGGTCATCCTTATTTCGACTTTGAGAATTGGGATATCTTACGAAGCTTCTTCCCCTCTAATAATAACCATGCACACGTATATCTTCAGAAGGAATCATTGCTATTCTACAAAAGCCCTTCCTGGGAAATATTTGACTTCTGACAGAGACTTTAATCTGTTCTTTTCTCACGCTGTAAGCTTAAAAACAAACAAAAAATTTTGTCTCTCCTACCAAAAAATTGTTATTGAGCATAAGGGATTTTTGGTAAAAAGTTTTTGTGTAGGAGTGCCTGGCTGGCTCTGTGGGAGCATGCGACTCTTGATCGCAGGGTCATGAGTTTGAGTCCCATGTTGGATGTAGAGTTTACTTAAAAAAATAATAAAATAAATAAATAAATAAAATCTTGAAGAAAAAGTCTTTAAAAGCTTTTGCCTAAAGTGCTCCAAACTATAGCACCACTTAACTATAACATAATACATAATATGAAAATACTATATTAATTATACATTTCTATAATCAAAATGCTAATACAAAAGAAGAACTTAGGAATACCAACTGGGAGACTGAAAAGGGGTTTCAGGGGCAGCATCTTTTGCACTGAGCCTTAAAAGAATAGCTATTTGTATATATATTTATGATGTGTGATTTCATTTATATAAAGCACATTTGTTAGAAGTCAAGATAGTGGTTACTCTTGGAGGCAGGGAAAGCAGTGATTGGGGGGACCTTCTGGGGTCGGTAGTGCTTTTTTCTTTGGTTTTGTTTTTTGTTATTTTTTTTTTAATTTGAAGTATAGTTGACATACAATATTATATTAGTTGCAGGTGTGCAGCATAGTGATTCAACAATTCTATAGTTACTCTGTGCTCATCAGGATAAGCGTGCTCTTCATTCCCCCACCCACCTCCCCCTGGTAACCATCAGTTTGTTCTCTATAGTGAAGAGTCTGTTTCTTGGTATTCTCTTCTCTCTTTTTTTCCTTTGTTTGTTTGTTTTATTTCTTAAAGTCCACATATGAATGAAATCATGTTGTCTTTCTCTGACTGACTTATTTCGTATAGCTAGATCTCTTCTCTGGATCCATCCCTATTGTTGCAAATGGCAAGATTTCATTTTTATGGCTGAATAATATTCCATTATATATTTATACACCACATCTTCTTTATCTATTCATTATCGGTGGACACCTGGGCTGCTTCCGTAGTTTGGCTATTGTAGATAATGCTGCAAGAAACATAGGGGAATAATTATTTTCATTACTCAGTGCCCCCCACAGTAAGTGTAGCTGCCGTCTGTCACCAAAGGGATTATAATATTATTGACTATATTCCCTATGCTATGCTTTTCATCCCCATGACTTATTTATTTTATAGCTGGAGGTTTGTATCACTTCCGGTCTTGAAGGAGTGGCCTTATGTAGGAACGTCCCCCGTGTAGACTCTGTGTGCCTGGCTACTTAGTCTCATCAGCTGGAGCTGGATTTGGTCCAGGCCAGAGGTCGTGGGGTGCTCCATGCCAGAGGCCACCCTGGTGGGAGGGCTGGAGCTGGAGCACATTTGGGCCGGGTGGTCCCAGGGGCTTCATGCCGGGTCCACATAGGCAGAATAGCTGCACCTGGAGCAGGCGTGAGCCGGGGGGCCCTGGGGCATTCGTAGGCACTCTGTGGCCTGGCTGCTGTGCAGGGTGGCTGGAGCTAGAGTGAGTGCTGATGGGGGTGCTCTGCACCTTGACCTGGAGCAGATGCAGTCTGGGAGGGCTCCCCTTGCAGGACAGATGGAGCTAGTGTGGGCTAGTGGACTCTGTTCCCACCTCTCAGGGGGGAAGAGGAATGTAAACAGTGGCTGTTACCAGGATCTCCAACTCCAAAGTGAGTCCCAGCAATTTCCCCACTGGTCGGCAGACACTCTAGGGCTAGTAAATGGATTTCCTTCACTCATAGTCTAGTTGCCCCTTAAGCCACTGTTTTGTTTTTGTTTTTAGCTGTGCCCCCAGGGCAGGTGAATCTGCACAGGCACAGCCCAGTGATCTCTCTCCCTACTGCAGGTCATTGAGTCTACGGTGGGCTTCCCACTGTCACCCTGTCTCTGTCTCTCCTGCTGTTCTCTGTGTGGCCCCTCTACCCTTTATTATGCAGAAGCTGTTCAGTCAGTCTTCAGTTCTTCTTCAGGAGGAATTGCTTTCTGTGTAGATTCTGTGTGTCTGTGGGAGGACATGCATTCAAGGTCTTCCTAGGCTGCCATCTTAGGCCTCTAAGCCAAGAATAGCTACATTTTTTAACAGGCAGAATCTTCCTATTTGCTTGGGAGAAATGAATGAATGGAACTATGAATAAGTGAATGGAATGAAATAAAATGAATGAATGAAATATGGAACTGTCACCTATGTATCCTATGTACCTTTCAAGGACCAAGATATGTTTGATATCATTATGTAAGCCCTTCCAAAGACCTCTCATGTTGAAATTCTCCAAGATAGCTCTCCTGTAATTTAATACAACACTTGCTGTGGTTTCATTATTATGAAATGGTAGCTTACAGTGAAACCCATTCAATCTGTAGATAAAGGGAACATATGTAAAGGATTAAAGTTATTACTAGCCTTTGATCCACTTTAGAATTAGAAAACTTGATAGGCATAGGAATGTCTTCTTTGTTGTCCTGATTTTGTTCTCAGAGTAATTGCCATTCATTCACCAAACCTGTGTTGTGGCCATAGTTCCAGCTAGGGATTGTGACAAGCAATATAGGGTCCCTGTCCTTGAGACATTTGTGGTCTAAGTGGGGAAAGTAAAGCATTCATATATGAGAAATAATAATATAACAGACTAAAATAGATGTCATACGCCCAAGAAGATGTCTGTCATGTGACAATTATTTAGATTCTGAGATGATAAGGGAATTTGGAAGGAGAGACAATGTTGTAAGCTGCAGTGGTTAGGAAAGGCATTTTGGAAGAGGTAGAATTTAAACCCAGTCTTGAGATACAGTGAGGGAACTATCCCACTTGGTGGAACAGAAATGATTTGATCCAAATGAATATTCCTTCCTGTCTCAACATTGGATATGGTGTGAGTTTTGTCGGTTGCTGCTGTTGAATCTTAAATGTAAGCTTTAAAGTTCATGCTTTGGTGGAGACATTTTCCATACAAAAGAAACCCAGTCTTGAAAACCAAGGCATTTATTACCGTATGGACAGAGCAGTGGTTAGCGACGTGATTTTTATATACCTAGGAAAATCAGGCAAAATACTAACAATTTTGTTTTTGTTTTAGACAGACTACTCTGATAGTTTACATTTTGTCTTTTTTGGGAATGGTTGTATTTACTGTCACGTTGGAACTTGGACACATTGCCGTCGTGTTTGTTACTGGAGGGGTACTCGGGTAAGCATCGGGTGTGTAGGAGGAATAGATAGTATGCTGTTACAATTCTGAAGTATTACTACTGTGGTTGTAAATTTTTAGTTCATTCAAATGTCCTGTAATATTTTAAACTTTAAAGAATCTATCCTGTGCATGCAAATGCGTAATTCTTTAGAAATTAAAAAAAAGTTTAAAATTATTTTTTTTTTGGTATATATGATAAGTGAAAAATGGATAAGCCTTCCTTAGTCCAGGTAACTTTATTTAGCTAGAAAAACAACTGACTTCGCAAATTAGAGGTACATTTTTCTCAGTGAATAATAATAGGGCCTTACTTTCACACGTTAAGTTCAGAATATTCAGTTATCTGATCACTAGAATAGTCCTGAGAAGTAGAATGATTGCCTCAGTATGTGATATTGCCCCTCAGTTAATTGTATCTACAATTCTGGATTTATTTTCCTAGTTTCTTCATGACCGGTTACCTCCCACTGGGTTTTGAATTTGCTGTTGAAATCACTTACCCAGAATCTGAAGGTACTTCCTCTGGTCTTCTTAATGCTGCGGCACAGGTAAACCTCTGACGTCTCTCAAATCTGAGATGATTAGTTTGCTGACTATTCTAGCGGGTAACAAGTTTGAAAATAGTTCTTGTTTGAAAAATTCTACCTTGCAATGTTTCTAGAAGCTAAATCATATGAATAAAATAGTTAGGAAAAGTTCTGGGGGAAACATTGCACTGATTTCAAAGAAGCAAATTTAACAATTATTTCTCTTATTTTAGATATTTGGAATTTTGTTCACATTGGCTCAAGGAAAACTCACGTCAGACTATGGTCCTAGGATAGGGAATATTTTCCTCTGTATTTGGATGTTTCTAGGCATCTTTTTAACAGGTAAGTTAGGGCGTTTTCCTGGCAAAATTATTTATGTCATATTGTCTTTATATTTAATTTTCATGTCTGTGGATTTTCAATGGCTTGGCAGAATTCAAGGGGAAAAAAGAGATAAAAAGCAGGATATTACTTGTCTTTTTCCAAGGATCTGAATCTATTCATTCATTTTTCGGATTTTAACTTGAATACTGTTGTTACTATTGCAGAGAAAATAAAACCATTATATTAAGAGTTGGTAAGGACTCTGGAGTGGACAGACCTGCTTCTCACTGGCTGTGTAACTTTAGCCAAGTTACTTCACCTCTCAAATCCTCCTTTTTTCACTCATATAACAGGGTATCAAAAAGTCTGCCCTAGAGGGTTGCTACATGGATTAACTGAGGTTGTTCATGAAAAGCTCCCAGCATTGTGTCTGGCACCTAGAACGTGCCTAATCACGTCAGCAATTATGATAGTGTGTGGTCATGGAAATAGCACATGGAATGATCAGCCAGTTCTTACCCTTGTTAGGGATAATCAATAGACATGGGCAGGAACGAGAGTAGAGCCCAACCTGCCAGACCTCTAGAGAAAGAGCACAGAAAAGGGCTTTTATTCGTGTTTGTCTGGGCGCATTAATGTAAAAATGGATTTAGAAGCAAAGCTTCATGTCCAGCAGTGTTTCTGCACCCACGTTGCTTCTCCTGTTAGCTCACTTGGCTGATTTCTTTCTGTATTCCTTCTCCCTATTCAGATGGCAGTGTAAACTCTTTTATACAATGTACCTACCAACCAAGCCACATAGCCTGCCTCCTCCCCCTTGTACTTGATGCTCCAGTGATCCCAAATACCTCCGGTGCCACATTCTTGGCTCTTCTACTCCTGTCTCACATTCTTTGCATATGCCATTTCTGGTCTGCCCAGAATGCCTTCCTCTCCTTATCGCTTGACAAGTTCCTACTCATTTTCTAAGTTTCGATTCAAATGTGCTTCCTCTGGCAAACCTTCCGTGATTGTCTCTGGACTGACAGAGGCATTTCCCCCCCCCCCACCCGAGGCTCCCACTACACCTTCTACATAACCTACGGGCTTGCAATGACCCTACAGTATTATAATCGTTTGCCTGTCAATATTTCCTCCGACTGGAGGGTGCTCTTGGGAAAGAATTGTGCTTTTCATCTTTGTATCTTTGGTTCCTAGCATCCTGTAATTGTTTACTAATGAATGAATTGCTAATTAAGTTAGTGGCTTAGAGAAGCACTAGCATTTTTTTCTTTTTCTTTTTTCTTTTTTTTTAAGATTTTATTTATTTATTTGTCAGAGCGCACAAGCAGGGGGAGCGGCAGGCAGAACAGGCAGAGGGAGAAGCAGGCTTCCTGCCAAGCAGGGAGCCCAATGTGGGGCTCGATCCCAGGACCCCGGAATCATGACCTGAGCCGAAGGCAGATGCTTAACGACTGAGCCACCCAGGCATCCCTAGCATTTTTTCATGCCATGAGGATGCTATTGAATATGATGGTACTACAGTGTGCTAAATGTGACATCAAAAAAGACTTTGTACTGCTTAGAGAAAAATATATTCATATATACTCTTTGATAATTCCATTGCTGTTTCTCTGTTTCAGCATTAATCAAGTCTGATCTCAAAAGATACAATATAAACATAGGAATTGTGAACGGTGATATTAAAGCTGTAAGTAATGAATATTTTTATGATTATACTATTGAGAAGTGTGTGAAATCAATCTGTCTAGTCAGCTTTTTTGTATTCCCGAGCCAGCTGTTGATCTGTCATAATGGCATATGCCAGATGCTATAAGGTTTTTTTTATCTCCTGATTCTTTTTATAGGTACCAGTTGAAGATAGTCCCACAGATCAAGAATCCAAAACTATGATGATGTCCAAGCAGTCAGAATCGGCAATTTGAGGTGAAAGAAAAAGTTAACATCCTGTGATAGTTGAGTGGTAAGGCTTGGTTTATACATGACAGGAGATGGATACTTAATTGAAAATTATTATGTGACCTCTCACTATAGTTACTGTCTTGCTTCATTGTTAATGTAAGCAAGATTTTGCTTAAAATACTTCGGCTCACATCCTATTAACACTACCATTTATCTACTGAGCATCCCATTGTTAATCCTCTACCGCTGATCAGAAAATAAACTTCTTGACATGTATTTTCGAGAAGTGTTTTCTTTTTTATGGAAAATAGAAGGTCAGAGGCTTTCTAAAATAATAACGTGAAGGTCTAATCCCTTTAAGTTACAGAGGAGTATATGCCATTTAGAACCAAGCGTGCAATATATTCCTAATTGGCTCCCTTTCCATTATTCTGGCCAACTGTCCATTCCGCCTCAGTAGGAGAACCAATATGGCACTTCTAAGCCCTCAAAGGACAGCACTGGGATGAGACTTCCACGGAACCTCTAAGATTTTTCTGGTTTCTTCTATTCTTGTTAAACAGTGCTTTGTAACATGTACTGTCGATGACCATTAAAACTATTCTGTGTACACGTTGAACCCATGACTTTTGTCTTAGACTCATGTTCTAATTAAGCTAAGGAGCCCAGACACAGGCTCATTACCTTGAGTTCTCTGCACTGCCTTCCTATCATGGCCTAAATGCTAATACTGTTTTTTTTTTCACTCCAACTTGAAATAGAATGATTTTGTACCCACTGCCTTGTTTACTCTTTTTTCAATGCAAGCATGCCTTGGAGATATTGTGAAGTCAGCTCCAGACCATTCAGAATAAAGCAAATATCACCATAAAGTGATTCGAATGAATTCTTTGGTTTCCCAGTCCATATAAAAGTCATGTTTATGTTATTCTGTAGTCTATTAAGTGTACAGTAGACTGAAAGAACAATGTACATACCTTAAAGGAAAAAAGACCTCTTGCTAAAAAGTGCTAACCATCATCTGAGCTCTCAGCAAGTCATAACTGCTGATCACAGATTACCTACTAAATAGAATAATAATCACAAAGTTTGAAATACTGCAAGAATTACCAAAATGTGACACAGAGACACGAGCGAGCAAATACTTTTGGAAAAATGTCACCAATGGACTTGCTTGATGCAGGGTTGCCACAAAACCTCCAATTTGCTTAAAAAAAAAAAAAGAACACAGTATCTGTGAATGGCAGTAAATGAAATCACAATAAAACAAGATATGCTTGTGTATAACTTTCTAGCAAGAAAATGCCATCCTACATGTTATCGGCTTTTTCGTGATTTCTTGCATCATGCCTAATACTTTGGCTTGAAGGTTGTGGAGATAAATCTGTGGTACCGTAGCCCAGGGGTCTCATTTAGTGGAGACCTCTAGAAATGCTGTCTTCATTCTGCACTATCATGCGTATGATCGTTCTCCTTCGAGGAATACTGTGCCCGGGTACGTGCTCCCTCGGCGTGTTGGGGGGAGTGTATTCTTTTCTTCACCAAAGTGTACATAGTCTCCACGCTGTTGGAAAAAAGTCTGCTTTGTTACATGCTCAGGGTAAGGAAAATAGGACCAAATGTGTTTCTACAGTGCCTACCACTGCATTTTGTTTACAGTGAGAATTTAAATGTTGTTTCTGTCCTGACTGTTGTAAGTTGATAGGGAAATATCTTTACAATAATGACATCTAAGCAGCCATGATATTTACATTATGTCCATATCTACCAAAAAAAAAAAGCCAGTCAGGTTTACCCTTGAATATTCTTGAAGTGAATTAGCAATTCTGATTTGGGCATATTATGTGCATTGCTTTATATTGAAATGATAACATTCTCTGTAATCAAACAACAGTAAATTATATAGACTCTTACCCTGGAGAATGTGTCACCAGAAGAACGTAGCTGGGAATCAGGAGCTCTGGGTCTGTGACCTGGATCCCTTTTTAGCTGTCCCTGTCACTCCCTGGCCAGCATTTTCCTCATCCATATAATGAATGTGTTCGCTTTGATCTCAGAGATCTTTTTTGAATCTTAAATGCTGTCTATCCTGGGCTAGACCAAATCACTGAACCACAGGAACTTAATTCTAGCTAGAGAAGACTCCCCTGGAGAATTGGATCAACAGCTGTGATGGATACTTGGTGGATATGGGGAATTTAACGTCTGTTTTTGCTTTTTCATTCAGTTGGTGATAGTGCAGGCAGAATATGCTGAATCATTAACTTCCTTAGATACTTACATCACAGGTGTTATGGCCAAAAATATATTCTAAGATCCCTCCTAAATAATTATTTTTATTTGTGAGCTATCAATTGTTTAAAATAATCACATACTTATTGAGTTCCTGAGCTTTTGAAAAAAATTACAGATAAAAGTTGGGCTCCTTTGTTTCTGAAAATCAGCATATGCATATGTGATGTGTGTCTTTCTTTGTTGATTAGAAAAAGGATGAAATATGATGTTCCAAAACACAAAATGGATTGATAATTTTTTCTATATTTTGAGTTAAAGTTGTAACATGTCAAACAAGAATGTCATATAATTGTGTCTTATCTTTGGAAGATGGAGTTGGGTAACCAACACTTGTGTAAGTTTTAATGAAGTGCTTTTAGAAAGAAATTGGATGCTTTCAAAAGCTGTTGCATTTATAAATGTAGCAAAACAAACAAACACTAGCTTTTGCCTTTTGTGAATGTTGGAGCAATGTCTTTAAAAATATGTTTGTGTATAAACTCAAGAGTATTGCCAGAAGAATGCCTGTCTGTATTGTCATCTTTCATGTTCTAATTTTTGCTTTTTGTACTATTGGTCGGTATGCTTGTCCTTCAGTGTTTCAGACCTGAAATAAATTTATTTTTTTAATGTTCATTTTGTATGGCTGTTTTTTTTTTAAGTTCTGATGCTTAGGTACACATAGGGAGTGGAAAGGGACTGTAAGATTTCAGAGCGGGCCAAGGAGGGAGTTTTGTGGAGCACAAAGAGACAAAGTCCCCCAGGGTCAGGACTAAAACAGCAAAGTAGAAAGGGCTTAATCTCCTCTCCTTTGGTGCCTAACTCCTCCTTGGGCAGATAGGTGCCTAGCATGAGCCATCTGGGGATGACTACACCTAAGCTGCAGACTTTCCCTTCTTCTCCTGGTGGCATGTACCTGTATGGGACCTGATATCCCACAGCAGGTGTCATTTTTTCCTCATTGCCTTGTTGATTAATATCATAAAACCAAACTATAACTTTCTTCATTGAAAAATCAGGTATGATGAACGCTCATTCTTTATAAGCTTCAGTGAGATAATACATAAAGACCATTTAGTAGAAAGCTTGACATAGCCAGCACTCAAAAGTTTTGGCTACTATTTTTATGCATTAATGATTGGTAACTAGCACCATATTACCACTTAAAAGTATTTGGATTTGAAGAGAGAAGTTCAAGTGACTTACATCAAAAGAATACCACTGAGGAAAATTTGAGGTCCTGGAGAGTGGCGAATAGAGAAGATATTTAGGGAGGAAGGGAGTGGTAACCACATTATTCAAATCAGACCTAGCAGGGGGCTACCCACTCCACATCCTCCTGAAGCCAGTCCTGTATGCAAATAAACCGGTTGGTCACGATTAAGGAAATTGTCATCAAGATTGGAGGCTGGATGAGAGATTAGGGCAGTGAATCCCAAAGGTTTTGGTCTCAGAATTCTTTTACACTTCGGAATCACTGAGGAACCAGGGAAGCCTGGGTGGCTCAGTTGGTTAAGCAGCTGCCCTTAGCTCAGGTCATGATTCCAGGGCCCTCGGATCGAGTCCTGCATCAGGCTCCTTGCTCAGTGGGGAGCCTGCTTCTCCCTCTGCCTGCCATTCCCCCTGATTGTGCTCTCTCTCTCTCCCCCCCAACCACCCCATAAATAAAATCTTAAAAAAAAAAAAAAAGAATCATTGAGGAACCCAAAGAACTTCTGTTTTTCTCAGTTATGGCTGTTAATACTAATCATACTAGAAACTGAAACAAAACTTTTATTAATTTAAAAATAACCTCATTACATCTTAATAAATTACATTTTATGAAAAATAATTATTTTCCAAAATAAATGTAGTGAGAACAATGACACCTTTTAATGTTTAAAGAAGGCAAAAAATCTTCCACATCTGGCTTCATAGACGGCCACTGGATTCTCCTACCAGATCCTACATTCAGTCTGTAGGGATAGGCTATTTTGACATGTTTGAAGAAAAACTTTGCACACATGTGCAGTTGGAAAAGAAGTATTTTAGTGGCCTTTTCAGAGAATTGTGGGTAGTCTTTAATACAATGGCAAGTTGGAAAGGGTAGTATCTTTTTTTTTTTTGAAAGATTTTATTTATTTGACAGAGCGAGAGGGCACAAGTAGGGGGAACAGGGAGAGAGAGAAGCAGGCTCGCTGCTAAACCGGGAGCCCGATGCGGGGCTTGATCCCAGGACCCTGGGATCATGACGTGAGCCGAAGGCAGATGCTTAACCATCTGAGCCACCCAGGCACCCCTGGAACTGGTAGTATCTTAAAGATTAGTTGCCATGTGGGCTCTGGAGCCATATCAATAAACCTTTCCTACTTTGTTAACATTAAAATTTAATGGTCTGTCTTGTCCTTCCAATAGGTCTTTAACCATGCGTGGTTGTAACATTATGCATTGGCGTTTGCAAAGTATTCTTTCACTGAGTTATACAGCTCTTCCAACTTTGATAAATCTCATCATATGATGCCAGATAAATCACATTTGTTAATACCTCTGATCTCATCAGAAAGTCTCAGTGCTGGGAAGCCATCAAGCTCATACAAGTCTCTTAAGCCTTGTTTTGGCAGATGCAGGGTTTCCAGAATGCTAATTTTAGTTTGGAAACTTCATTCTTCCCATTGGGGTGGGAAAAAAAAAAATCTGTCAGTTATTTTCTCGAAGCGAGGGACTCGCTTCATTGCTTTTTGAAAAAATACCTGCCAAAGACCCATCTGAATAACCATAATTTATCTGTCAACCATCCTTTCAAGTAAAAATGATGTTCTTTGAAAATAAACCTCTCGTTCAGCTTGCATCTCAAATAAGTGTACCAATGCTTTTCCTCTAAACGAGCCTCATACATGGGTGTGTGCAGAAGTGTGTCATGCGTCCTTGCCATTTCATCACACAATATTTAAAAGTCATGTGCCCAAGGATCAGCATTCAATCGCTTTTACTTTTTTTATCAAGGATATTCTTCAGTGGCTCTGACTTTCTTTTTTTCACTGCCACTGAATGACGGGGAAGAACCCAGTGGCCACCAGAGCAGCTCGGTGCCTGGGCCTTGATTCAGTGCGAAGGTATGAGCAGTTTCTTCCATCCCTGCCTCTGAACCGTCAGAGCAAACGTCAGTGCAGTGAAAAAGGCAAATCACTTCTTTCTAGGATTACAAAAGAGTTTGACATGGGTCGTGGGGACTCCCAAGGTTCCGCCGACCACACTCTGAGAACCACTCTTCTGGAAAAGAGATTGGCTGTCATCAGCGCAGATCAGGGATCGACAGACAGCATGAGAAACCAGGGAGAGTGGACAGGAGAGCAGGGTCAAAGTTCAAAGGTCTCTAAAAAGGAGCCGGATGGAAGAAGAGTCATTGGAGACACAACGGAGCCTGTGGGGAAAGAAAGGCAAAACCCCGGGTAGTTTTGTTAATGAAGCCAAAGCAGGCAGGTGCAAACGAAGATGCTACCTGAAGCCATAAAAATGTTACCACTACCTCTTTTTATACTATTTTAATTATAGTCAGTGTGATGTTTCAAGATGAAGTTTCCAGTTTTATTTAGCTTTATAGGTAGCTAAATGTTAAGGCAAAGGTCATGAAACTGAAATAAAACAACTATAGGGACACCTGGATGGCTCAGTTGGTTAAACGTCTGCCTTTGGCTCCGGCCATGGTCCCGGGGTCCTGGGATCGAGTCCTGCATCGGGCTCCCTGCTTCTGCCTCTCCTTCTGCCACACCCCCTGCTTGTGCTCTCTCTGTCAAATTAATAAATAAAATCTTTTTTTTTTTTAAAGCTGACTATATAGCATTGTATGTGTTACCATCACCCTATAATAAACAGAGGCTTTAAAATCTAAGACCTGGGGCGCCTGGGTGCCTCAGTCGGTTAAGTGGCAGCCTTTGGCTCAGGTCATGATCTCAGGGTCCTGGGATCGAGCCCTGCATCGGGCTTCTTGCTCAGCGGGGGAGCCTGCTTCTCCCTCTGCCTGCCATTCCCCCTGCTTGTGCTTGCTCTCTGTCTCTCGCTCGCTCTCTGTGTCAAATAAATGAATAAAAAATCTTAAGAAAAATAAAATAAAATCTAAGACCTTTCACTAGAATTACAGTCATTCTTATTTTCCACAGCAGGCAAAGCTCTCGAGGTAAATAACCCATTTCCGAAGCCCATTGTTTCTCCTGTAACCCGCTGGCCAGTCTCAGGTTCCCCAACGGAGACACCTGCCTATACCACATTCGCCCTCCCTCCCTGCGAGGGGAGCTAGCCATCTGTGTAGGTGACAACCTGCCCTGAAATGACTTCAGGGTTCTTGACGGGATCCTGTGCCTGGAAGATGCCTTTGTGATACCTCACAGGAGATAAAACATTTTTGGGTCCCCAAAGAGAGGCAAGGTTTCAAAGCACACTGACCACCAAGAGGGAATACCTTATCTGAAATCTGAACCAGGGTCTAGAGATATCCTTGAGCAGGTTTGAATAGAAGGCGGTGGGGGGGGGGGATGTGGTCCGGAGACCCTAAGCCTTGAGAAAGGAGGAGAATGATATTGGTGGGGGATGGGGGAAGACTCATTAAGATAGTGAGCTTCGTTTTCCACTTAGACAAATGATGTATTAGGCCTCTAATTTTGCTTGATGTATTCATTTGCACTTCCCCTTTCAGTTGTTACTTTAAGCCCATGATGAAATGGTCATTGTAAAGAGAACAAACTGTTAGAAACCAGTAGAAACTTGATTTCTGGCTGGAGCCTCCAGGTCTTGAATAATAAAGGCTGCCTGAGCACCTCTCTTTCTCAGAGACATGTCTAATTCCTCCAGGGACTGAAATGGCCCCGAACCCCTGAGATTAGCTGATAGATTAAATTTTCATAAAGCCTCATCGTGCATAAAAGTGAAGCTGAAACAAGAGTGGCAATGATTTCTTTTTCAGTGAAAAGCCTGAATCGTTCAAAACTTATCCTGACCCAAAACGAAGACTGATAAGCTCTGGATCATTCTGGCCAGGGTAGAATTTATGCGTGGACAGAGGTTCCCCACACACAATCAGATTAGTATAAGAACATGTCCCTGGAGGGGTGACTCATGGGCATAGATTCCTTACCTGCAAACCTATGCAGTACTTGGTACTATTATTCATAGGACAGTTTGGTGTCCTTGTATGGCTAGATTCTGTTATTGATATGCATTATTTTATTGCATTGTAGGCCCTTGGAAAGCATCCCACATGGTGTGTAGGGTAAAAACATGTCCTCTGGGAACCTAAAGTCTTACGTGTGAAACATGACTATGATCTTGGGAAAGGAATTTAAAATGAATTTCTGTTTCTTCTCTTACTAACTAGAATAATATTTCCTAATTTGCAGGTTTGTGGTGAGGATGAAATTTAAGTAGAAGGCACACAATAGATCCTTAACAAATCAGACGCATTGTTATTCCCATTGTGAGAAACAGTAAAGGTAGGGACTGACTGCTGATAACACTTGAGAGGCAGTTGACTGATTTGGGAGAACATGTGTATAAGTGTTTGAACTTGACATTATTTATAGCAGCTGCCTTTAAAATCATTGATATCCAAAGTACTTAGCCACTTCCGTGTGCATGTGGGTGCAACACTGGGCTTGGTGCAAA